TTATGGTCTGTATCCTGTTAATGCCATGTATTAAGGCCTGAAGTGTTGGTCCTATTTTTTCTTCTATGAACTTTATAGTTTTAGGCTTTATATTCAGATCTTTGATCCATTTTGAATCTTTTTTTTGTTTTTTGATGTCAGTGAGCCCCTCCTCAAACTCTTTGCTGAAGAGGTGAGGTCAGAGTCAATCACACAGCATTTAGAAGGAGGAATGAAAGACAGCAGGAAAAGTAAGCTGTCTAGGAAATCATTAACTAAACTGAGATAAATCTGGCCATAGAGAGTCATTAAAAACATACTTAATGAGATGATTCTCCCTCTTCTTAAAAATATGCTTTCTACTCACTCATCTTATACACAAAGCCTGTCACATCTGCCAGCTCCTTGTTGCTATTTATATGTATCAAAGCATTTTCCAAACAAAATCCTACAGTTCATAGCCCAACAAAGCAAAGCATGATGGCCATGGGTTTTTCTAGAGCTGCTTTTGTATCTGCAAGGATTTATTTTGTGTAATCTGTTCTTTTCATTCAGCTCTTAACAACAATTCGCCCCACTCAAGATTTGGAGAGCTCAACAACCAGTGATCACAGCTCACATGCAGAAATAAATGAGCCTCACTTGTAGATTAGGCCAAGGCCCCCACCTGACACTTATCCAAGTTGGCAAGCGGCTGATTTCGGAGCTTCTTCACTTTGCTACCCACTGTCTTGTCTTACCGGTGTGGCTCAGAATCATCAGTTTCTCATGATGTGCCCTTTTCCCCTCTATTTAGTCAATAAAAGGGGTAGAAGGATTCAAGGAACTTATATACTTTCTGTTCGTTTTTTAAATGTCTGTGATTTCAAGAGTTCATTGTATTGGATTTTGTTCCATGTGAGAGGTGTAGAGAAAAAGAGAAGATAACCTAGTGAGCAAGAATTTGAAATGCCTTAGTCACGGCCACTAAAGGGGTTGCAGTTTTACCCAAAAAGAGAAAGATGAGGCCCAGAACTTGCCTGAGACTTAATGCTTCTGAGTTTTTAAGACCTGGAAGGGATTCTAGATATCACTTTCTAATTTGGTGGCAAATTAGAATCAACTTGGGAGTCGAACAAACAATGCCTGGGACCCACCCCAGAGAGTCTGATTTAATTAGTCTGGGTGCAGCCTGGGCATTGGTTTTTCTTTTTGAAAGTTTCTTAGATAATTCTAATGTGTAGCTAGGATTGAAAACCGCTGATTTAGTCTACACTTCTCATATTACCAAGGGAAAAACCTTAGCTGAGTGAGACTGAGCTGTTCAAGGTCACCACATCAGATAAAAGACAAGGAGCATAAACTTGGAACAGGTAAACCTAGACTTAATCTTAACTCAGTTACTCACTATCTGTATGGCCTTGGCGAAAGTACATAACCTCTGAGAACCTCATTTTTTTCATTTGTAAAATAAGGATACTATTCCCTACCTTGGAAACCCTGGAAGCGTAGTGGTTAAGTGCTGCGGCTGCTAATCAAAAGGTCGGCAGTTCAAATCCACCACCCACTCCTTGGAAACTCTATGGGGCAGTTCTACTCTGTCCTATAGGGTCTCTATCAGTCAGAATCGACTTGATGACAATGGGGAATGGGATTCCCTACCTTGCAGCATGGTTGTAAGGATAATTCATAATATACTGTCTATATTGCATACAGTACAGCGCCTAGTACTTGGTAGGTTCCCAATAAACATCAGGCATTATATTGCTATTATTATTTGCTATTATAGAACCCAGGTTTCCTAATTCCCAGTCTGGGGCTTTCTAAAGCCCTACCACAAGTCCAGAGTGGAGTGATAGCTAAGACCTGACTTCCCAACTCTCAGCTCCTTGCTTTACCCAGATCTTTAGAGAAGGCTAGCGTTGGGGAGGAGGAACACTTATGGAGAGAGGAATCTACAGCTGTGAAGACATACAGCTTTGACCACGGAACACAATTCTGCCACTGACTACAAAGATAAGGAATTTTCAAGAGCATTCATATAGTTAGAGCTATGTTTTCAAATCAAAGGCTTTATAATAAAATTCTGTTTTAGAATAAAAGTCTTATGGAGTTTGCTATTTAAGGGAATTCTATGGTAAAGGATCCTTTTGTAAAGCAAAGAATGACCTTTTTATATTTTTTGAGTTTGCTTAGTTAGCTCTACCTTTAGGTCCATCGAGAGATTCTAAGGAATGTACGGCGACTGCTGCAGTTACATGTAACACCGAAAACCCAAACGCTCCTTCCCCTGACTACATTTGTGGGATCTTCAAATTCTGTGATGAAGTCATCACCCTATTTAGATGCTGTGATTCTTCTGCAATGACTGTCTGCTAAGTGAAGGGGCCCAAAATCCACTAAGAGTCATGTCAAGAATGCTGGGGATTTATTTATTTTCCTTGGGTAAATGTAGAAAGGCTCTCTGATAGCATTTGCTGAGATTTAGGTGTATGCCACCAAGCAAGGCAATGGGTTGCACTATCTTCCTTAATGGACAGCACCTATTCTTTAATTAACAGTCCAAAGCACTTTGTTGTCT